ATTTTATTTACTTGTTGGATAAGGTGAGTATCCAATCTTCCGCCGCAAACATTTTCCATCATGGCAAGGTGCTCTAAGTTATCATGAGTCTGAAACAATGCATCCCCAGTGAAGAATTCGACCAAGATACAGCCAATGCTCCAGATGTCACATGGAAACGACCATCCAAGCCCAAGTATAATCTCAGGCGCCCGGTAATGACGTGTCGATACAACCGAAGAATGATATTCGTCCTGGAAAGTAGCTGATCCAAAATCAATAAGCCGAATTTCTGTATCTAACAGTACCCTTCGTTGAGCAGCTTGTCGATTGACAGTAGTAGATGACGAAGGAATTCTGCGACCGTATGTAAACGCCTGGTAGCTACTGTCGCAGAGAAGTATGTTTTCCGGCTTTAAGTCCGTATGGATTAGGTTGAGATCATGCAAGACTGAACCACAAGTCAGCAGAGTATAGGCCGGATATTTGCAAAGTCAACTCACAAGCAACACTAGTGAAGAGCTGTCGAGCAAAGCTCTGAATCTGACTATTCGGGAAGGGCACAAATGAGTTGCTCTTTAAGAAGTCAAAGACACTTTGACCAAGAAGATCCATGACTATGCATATATGTCCTCTGTAGTCGAAACAATCCCGGAGATGTATACACCTGTTTCGATTTTCCTGATCATTAGCTTTCAATGTCGAAAGCACTCGGAGTTCTATCCGCGACGCATCACGGTATTTCTGGACAGAGCGGATAATTTTGATAGCCACCATCTTCCCCCTCTTCTTATCTTTCGCTTGAACAACTTTGCCGAAAGTTCCTTGTCCAAGCAGCTTGACGACCATGTCTACAGATCTGTTAGTTATCGGATATTTTTGAAGCGGCACAACATTTCTTACATCTATCTGTGAGGTCAGTGTCTGGTACAACAAGATAATGTCCATCCTCGTCATCAATCTTGCTGTTCTTTGTATACGAATTCTATATTTTGTCAGCATATGCCGATAACCGAGATGGCCCAATAACTCACATCTTGCACAACTTTTACTTGGACCTCGGCCGCTTTAATAGGCGGTTTAGGTGGAGGCTTATAGTTAGAATAGGCATCGCCATTAACTTCAAGCTCTTTTCGTTTTGCCTCATTGGCAAGCTGTAGCCGCGTAGCTGTTCTTTTTCTCTTCTGACCCGGCAGCGTGTCCTCTAAAACTTCGTATCCGTTTTGTCCATTTGAAGACAGAGAACCTAGCGAGGTTGCTGCGGTGGTATGTATGGCAGATGTAGTTCGATCTGTGGACACTGTGGATCCAGAAGAGTAATCCTTATAATGTGGACTCTGATCTTCCGAGTTTGATGGATCAATTTGGTAGACCGGATCATACATATCATCTCTTTTTCTCTTCTTTGTCGTATGCCGGTTGTTATTTGTCATAGCTGTATGACTTGATTGACCATTCGACATGGCCGAAATTGACGGTTCCGGAGTTGGAGTGTCATCGATGACAATGACCTCTTTTGGAAGCCCATTTTTGTAAAATTTATGCCAGTCGGGTTCTCTAGGTTCTCTTGACCTCAGCCTTTTTCTCGCAGGCTGCTTTGAATCCGATGCAGCCGGCATAGTCCCCATAGCTAATTCGGACTTCATATGACTCGGTGTGATCTGATTCTGGTATGGAGAATCAATGGTATTGCCGGGTAACGATCCACCACTGGAGGGGATCGAAAGGCTGTAGGATCCTCCCAACCGGCTGACGCCGTTCAAGACGCTATTGTTCGCTCGATAACTGGGATTTGATTGATAGTTCTGATGATGAGGGTATCCGTAATTGGGATGATGTGGTGGTAGAGTAGACGGTGTCGACATCGCACAATTATCGTATGGTAGGCCCAGACAAGAGTCTGAAATCTTGAGTTGAGGGAGTGAATGGATACAGTTCGGCTTTGGACATTGAATATCCACGACTCTCGATCAGCCCGAGTGCTAGCAGCGAGATAAAACACGATACTGTAGAAGTTGAACGTCGGTCGTTCTCTCCGAGACGGGCGCGAGGGCGAATGCGTAGACGTCTAAGCACAAGGCTAGACCCAAAACATTTCGTGACAAAAGGTTGTTAGACGAGTAGATGAATACGTCTTAATCGAACCCAGGAAAAAGGATGTCATCGATAGGAAATCGTAGAGTTATCCTATGACAATCATTCGAGGCGGGTCATTCCCTGAGGTTGATTTCCTCAAGGTCCTGACGGTCTTCTCTGGGCTCGCCGCAAGCGAGTTTGTGTTTGGCGAGCGCGAACTCCGCTCTTACGGTGCAGTGCAGCACACCACGAGGGCTATGTGGCTAAGGAAGATAATGCGTGTCAAACCAACGTTCTAGCGCCTTGCCTGTCTTTCTTGATCGTATGGTGCTCACTCAAGAACAGAGCAGACTCGAGGGGCAGCCTTGCAACCACTTTATCAGAGCAAGGCGTTTGTGATGTGGCGGGCTTTTAGCAAATGGTGGGCACCAGTTGCAGTAAATCTCTCTGGGCAACGGCAAGATCCCTTTCCCCTCTTCATAAATTTTATTCACTCACTCAGGAGTGGTGTCACTTCTGGCCAGAAGCAGAATCCACAAAGTACAACAAATAAATGAGCAGTGATAAAGCCTTATTCCTTGCCCTGCAACGTATACCTCCAAATAGCAGCCCTAGATCTGATCCTCCGACCCGCAATGATGCCCTCCTATCCTTCCAGTAGTGCTGCAGTTTACCTAAACAACTCGCCGAGCCCTGACTACAGAGTAGGTCTACCGTAAGGTGCTTGCAAGTACAGCCGAAAGGCTCAGCCGGTGCGACCAAATCCCATTCTTACAGCACAACTCCTCAAACTTAACATCAAAGTTCAACATATATTAGCACGAAGAGCAGGTATTTAGGGGATTTACAATCGTCATATAGATCTTCCCTATGATCACAAAATTGCGCTATGTTACCTGCGGCAAATCTTTGCCACAATATCCCACTGGCTTACTTAATAATACGAATAGCAGACTGGACAACCCAACTTTATTGGGCCCGGGTGGCGATATATAAGACTACTAAGTATTGGTGTACTTTACGTATTATGCCATCCCATACTAGCTGCATGGCCGTAGGAGGCAGCTCAAGTCATTAGAGTATATAACGTCTCTCATCTACCTGTAGAACGAATAGGATAAGTACCTTAATTATCTCAGTGATGGTAGCTGTGATTCCGATATCACTTGTGGCGGGCAATGTAAGATTTGATAGTGCAGATGCGACCAAAACCAGGTACAAGATCAGTTTTCGTTGCTCTTCTCATTGCTAGATGTAAATGCACGAAATAATCCCCTGGGTGGCTCTGTAGCAATGAATTTTCCTCCGAGAATGAATTTGAGCACTTCAACATAGACTGCCTTCTTTGGAAGCATAGTTTACCTCTATTATCTTGTTATCTATATACAGTAGTTTATCGGGATTGGACTTGAAAAGTTATATTCCACGATTAAAAACAACCTTTCCATTCTCACCCCCGCGGCCCCAGAACTCCGGCTCTAGAGACGATGCGTCAATACTTTGACGCTGTGGGAAGGCACCAAGGGCCAAGGGCAAGGCGAAGAGACTGGTTCCCAGGATCAAACCAAGATTAACCGGCATAGTCAATCTTGGGTTTCTCTGTAGCCACTCTGTTTTCTGAAGTCTGACCAAAATCAACGGTGGTATAACCATGATGGGAGAGCTATTCAGGACTCTGCTCAAAGCTGTCTCAGAAACAGCCAAAGTAGCAGCCTTTTTGCTTTTGCCAAGTGACGGAACAGAAGACTCCGACTTGCCTTCTGCAGCTAATTTCTCTTTATCAGCAGCAGAGAGAACCGGGTATACATCAATACCCTTTCTTATCTCTTCTCCGCGCATTAAGAACACATTTAAGGCGCCGGCACTTGCAACCGCAGCAAATGGCACAAGGCGAGAGAGGATGAGCTTCGTAGCTGGCGTTACTCGCTTTAAACGCGGAACAAGGGCATTCAAACCGAGTGCAACTGAACAAGAAGCGCCTACGGCAAGAAAATATGACTGTGCGATTTTTGACGTTGACAGAGGAGTCGACTTATTCGCATTCGCATTATTAATGGCCACATTCAAAGACTGATTAGCAATTTGCCAGAGGGCAGTACCAGTAGCCTGTCAGGTAACCGTGTCAGTTGGGCCAATATATCAGACCCAGTGGTATATAACTCACACCAAGACCAGGGGTTAGCATGCCAGCTGTAACCACGAGGTTCGACAGAACGAAACAGGACATTCGAAAAGGCAGAATCACAGGCTCGCCCGTATCTAAAATACCCATTAATCCAGTACAATTGCAAAGCGTATCTGTCACATACCTGGATGTAAAGTTGAATCTACGATTTTTTTGGCTTTCCATAATTCTGGACTTATATTCTGAACCTTCCCTTGCTTGTATGCCGAAATCAACTCTTTTGCATGCTCTAGACCTTGTTTATTTACTAATAGAGTCCTGTTCCAGCCAAGTTAGCGTCATCCTCTACCAGTCTTCCTTCTCCAAACAACAAATGCATCGACTTGAGGGCCATGCACCTTTACTAGAGAAATCAAAAAGTTCAAACTTCCCCTCACCTAGGATCTGAAATATCGGCCGCGTGTCTGACGCGACCCCAATATGTACTGAGATCATATTGTGAGGGCGGTAATTCACGCGTTCCTGGTAATGAGGACGACATAGTTGGGTAGATATTGGCTTATTTCCGACTTGATCCAAGGCCCACCGTGAAGATAAATAACCAATTATTAAGTGTAAATTCTTTTTGATATCATAATATATTGAACATGTCGCTGGTAGGGCGTGATGTGAGGTTAGTCTGGAAGGCCCCATCTTGGACAAATTCTTTGAAAGGTTCCGAATTCGGCCTGAAGCACTGCGGCGGAGTTCCTGATTACTGTAGAGCTCAGATCTCATAGAGTACGATAAGCGATCCATCCTTCAACAACTAGCATCAATAGGCCTAGTAGCGTAATGGTTAACGCGCCAGATTTCGGTTATTATTGACTACCTCTGGAGATTGGGAGTTCGAGTCTTCCCTGGGTCGTTAATATTTTTTTTGCCAGTTATTGTTATGAACAGTGTTCGTTTTTCGAGAGAACTTCCAAGTAATTGAATAGACAGTTGATAGCATACATTACATAACTATCTTCTTTTTGGGTAGGCTTGTTTACTGTTACCAAATTATCAAGATGTCGACGCTAACTCGTCTGCAGTGCGGTGTTAAACCCCACGTCTCCCCATACGTCACCAAATCGGCAAACTCGCAGCAACAACAATATGTCGGGGTTTAAGGATACTTTCAAGAACGGATGGCACCCCAAGGGCAAGGATGGCAAGTCGAAAGAGAGTTGGAGAGGTGATTTTAAGGGCATCAATCAAGTAGCGGGATGGGTGGGAAAGGGCAAAGATCCAAAGGCTGAAGATCCTCATGAACATATCTCAAGACCGCTCTCAACGCTGAAAGACCCAGCATTGTTTGGACCGCCGCCAAAGAATGTGAATTACCATGGAGGAGCTGCACTTCCGAATAAAATAACTCCGGACACTCGCGGCATTGGAGCCCCAATATCACAAGATCAGATACAAGCAAAAAGGGAAGCAGAGGAAGAGGCGCGGAGGCTGGCGGAAGAGGAGGAAGAAAGAAGGCGCGCGAGTCCTCCAGTTCCATATCGAGCGAATACTACTGGACTTTCAACCACAAATCTTCCACCGCCCCCTGTACGGAGAGATGGCGCAGACGGTCGAACTCCTGTAGACAAGCCAAAACCTCCGGGACTACCGCCTCGATTACCTCCGCGACAAAATTCTAGTTCCGTATCCTCCGTCAGATCGAATACGGAGGATACAGAGCCGCCATCTCATAGAGGAATCCTTAATCAGGGTTCCATAAATAGGCTAGGAGCAGCGGGTATCTCAGTCCCAGGTTTTGAGATAGGGGGATCGAATGCACCTCCTCCTCCTCCAACTCTATCATCACGAAACTCTGCAACCAGCCCTAAGCCGACAGCAAATACAGCAAATACAGCACAACTTAACGAACTGCAATCTCGCTTCTCACGTTTATCTGCGTCCACAACACCAAATCCTGTCTCATCAAGTGAGGGGACATCTTTCGCACAAAAGCAATCAGCTCTTAAAACAGCCTCGTCATTTCGAAAGGACCCTTCTTCTGTATCCTTTAGCGACATGAAAGATGCAGCTTCTACTGCGAATAATTTTAGAGAACGTCATGGAGAACAGGTTGCTTCAGGTTTAAAAACAGCAAACAACATGAATACAAAATATGGAATTGCTGATAAAGTCAGCTCATACGGTGGTGTAGGGTCTCAGGAGCCTGCTGCTGCTGAACCTGCGAGTCCAGGGGCAGCATTGGCTTCTAAGAAGAAGCCTCCCCCACCACCACCAAAGAAACGAGCAGAACTGGCAGGATCTGGTGTCAGTTCTCCACCACCTGTGCCCCTCGGTACCAGACCGAATTTCCAATAACTTGTAGGAAAAGGCAACATGGTAGTCTTATTAATGCTCCCTGCTCTAAGATATGCCGCTACTACCGATCAATCATCCAGTCATGCTATCCTTATAAGGCAGGAGGACTCCTGAGATTCTTCGAGTCTTATTTATTCCTTGTTGAATATCGTGATGCTCTGCTTTCTGTTGATCCAGCGTGTATATTATTGACAGTGGGCAGCTCGACAGCTCCCAGTATTCATCCTAGGTGGTTCCCCGGGTACACTCTTCTTGCTAGCTATGTTTAGACGATCACTCTTTACTGACAATAATAATGTAAGATATTTTAGCTTTGTTCTATCTGGATGCAAGTTCCTTGAGGACTATTATGTCAATTAAAAGCTGCACTCTGACCTCAACCTCTCATTGGTTACCTTCTAAGTACAGGTCCTTCTTTTGGAGGTAAATGATAGAAGAATTAACCTTTTCTTGGCTGTTTTGGGTATAAGGCATATGGTCATAGAATCTATTCTCTAGATCATGGATGTATCGTTGGGGTAATCCTAGAGAGAGTCAACAAGTGTTGAAGTCAGCATTGAGGATTGAACATATCTTGGAGATGAATATCAAATACTTCGGCACTATGTTTGGCACAAGCCTTTTCTGTAACTAGTATTGAGTATCACATCCTGAAAAAGGCATCAGATTAGTCCTAGGTATATGCTTAATATTTAAAGCTATTGATACCTTTGTAATTTTCTTTGGCATGGAGTTTTTGACAGACATTGACACCTGAATTTTTACCGCGAAGTTTTTTCTGATAATATAATTCTCAATGTCTATTTCAAGACAATTCCAGAACTAACTTTCATCATACTATAGTAGCGCTTCATAGCAAAATTTGCTCTAATATCTTTCCGCTTCTGCGAATCGATATTCAGTATATTTCAACTAATCGCAATCTCACAAATTCACCGTATGTAGACCTGATCTTCTATCAATCTTTATCAATAACAGAGGGACTATGGCACCTAAGCCAGACCCACCAAAAAAGAGTTCAGTGAAGATAATCGAGTAAGTCTCCATATTTTCTTACCTGCTCTGGATAGCTTCTAATAAAACTGAAGTCTGATATCCGGTCCTCAAGTTGAGCTCTACATTGGGCCAAACAAACACCACTATGCTCTTCCAAAACGCCTGCTCTGTCACTACTCGACATATTTCAACTCTTGCTTCAACGGCGGGTTCGCAGAATCCCAAACCCAATCAATAGAGCTTCCAGATGACAGAGTCGAACACTTCGAACTGTTGTTGGAGTACTGGCTCAAAGGCTCCATGGATGACTGGTTCAAAGCCCATCCTTCTAAGAAAAAGCCTGTAATCCAATGCATGGATTTTCTCGCATTCGCAGATAAATACGGGTTTGAAGTTGTTGAAGCTATGGAGGCGCCTCTCACCAGTGCACTTGGCAAAAGTGATGCGGCTCGGTCAAATAAAAAGGTTAATCATGCGGAAGAAGTTAGAGCCAGTGATATTGAGCTCGTATACAGGATGACTTCGGTGGGGAGTCCGCTGAGGCGACTTATGGCTGAAGCGGCTCTGTCTGCGAAGGGTTTCCGTAATTCAAGATTCTTCCAGAAACAGGAGATCGATGTTCCCGGATTTGCGGCGGATTTATTGGATGTGTTCAGAGAGCAGGTTAACACAGTGAAATGGACGGATCCAATCACTTTGGAAAAGAAAACACGCTAGAAGTGAATGACGATGGCAATTTCATTATGGGCTTGAAATCATCTTTATGGGAAAGGTGGGACCATTTAGTCACAACTGAACAGATCCAAAAGCTGCTTCTCACCGAACAGTTAAAAGTAATAACGCTCATTTCAGGGGATATTTTCATAACTATTTTATTTACTTAGGCTTTTTATAGCTCTCCGCGGAAACATTGAAGATATGGCCACATTGGATTACGCAACAGGTATAATGCTCTGATCTTGTACTCGTAGGAGGTAGCCCAAAAATTAAGTGTGGAGTATAGATGTTTAACATGCATTCGTGGAAGAATCTGTGAAACTTTTTGTGCTTGAATTTGGTTGACATCATCAGATTCAAAATGACAAGAGGCTGGCAGTAACGTGTTTTACTGGCTTATAGCTATGCAGTAATAAAAGAAAGATTCGTTCCGCATCAGATCGATATTTGAACTCCTTTAGACCTTCATCTCATCAAGACCGTACTTCCACACGGTAATGTAGGGGGTGACACCGTCCTCGCGGTAGTTCATCAATACAACCCTAGTAGTGGTTAAAAAGTTGCACTTTCCGAATTTAAAGTGGTTGGATAGCTTACATTCCGTCAGGGTCCATAGATTCGCCAATGTAGAAGTCATAATCTTTAAAATTGGCGACAATCTTCTTGGCATATGCTTGAGCACCCTTCTCGAATGCGGTGATTTTCGCCTCATCGGCTCCCTTCTCCTTCAAAGCCTCCTTGACCTTCTTCATGTAGGCTATCTCTATGTTAGTTATGACTTGAAAACTCTGGATAAGTTGTAACATACTCTTGAGATGGCTGAGATAAGACTTCTTATCAAAAGAGGTGGATTGGAGACGGAAAGAGTGAACGACGTTGTTGACCTGAGTAGCTCCATCTTCTAAGGTTTCATCGGCTTCCTCAGCAGATGCGTTGGCGCCAGTATCTGAATCATTACATTAGTCCAGCTCTTACGCTGACTTCTTCAATTTGTGGCTCATGTATCTTACCAACATCGACAGCGCCGAGGGTGATCATAGCGCAGTCAGCCTCATAGACTGCATCATCAATCTCCTTGAGATCGTAGGAGTCAGAGATGATCTCATCGCCGGTAATGATATCCTATTATACAGATCCAGTATTAGCCACGTTTCAGGTTCGAAGGGGATTCGCAACTGATTTTGCATCGCTACACTTTTTTTGTCCCGCTTGGGTGCGGGGTTCTCAAAAACCAAAAAAGAAGCGCTTACCTTGTAAATAATCATGGTGACGGCGGGTGTCTAAAGACAAACTATGATATTCTAATTAATGAGCGCGGGACTGAAAGGAAATATATACTTCAGGACCTCCAAATTTAAATATGATAGTGGGTATGGGAGAAAAAGCAGCGAATTGTCTGGATGGTGGGGCAGAACTGGAATCAGGAGCTAGCGCAACACTAGCTTGGAGGGAAAATGCTGACTGTAGCCTGATCTTATGCCTTAATTATAGGGCTTCAAAAGCATTCGCCACATGCTAAAAGCCAAAGATTTTAGGCATTAACGCCAGTGACGACCCTCGTAGTTTTTTCGAACTTTTCGGCCCCTTCGGGTCATCAAAACGTCCTACTAGCACATGTTGCATAAGACAATGCGGCGTTCTGTAACAGGTATCTATGGAAATTTTGAAGACGAATAGCTCATGACTCCGTCAAATTGAGCTCATATATAGTATGACTGCCACAACTATTTCTAAAGAAGCAAATAATAATCGTACCTGTTGAACATTCGATTGACGTGAGGCTGGAACGATTCAGGAGACAGGTACCCCGATGCACAATTAAACGAGATTTGATAGCGACGGATG